TCCCTAAACCCCAAACCCTTCAAGTGGGCCCGGGACCCATGGCAGCTCTCGCCCCCACGCTGTGTCGCGGTGCCACAGAAATGCCGGCTTCAGCCGGGCGTCGGAGATTAAGGGCTTGAGAGCTAGGGTTTAGGGTTTAGGGTTTAGGGTTTAGGGTTCCGGGTTTAGGGTTTAGGATTTAAGGTTTAGGGTTGGGTTTTAGGGTTAGGGGTTTAGGGTTTAGGGTTTAGGGTTTAGGGTTTAGGGTTTAGGGTTTGTTTAGGGTTTATTTAGGGTTTAGTGAGGGTTTAGGGTTTTGTGTGCTGTGTTCAGGACACCTGGCTGCCAATTGCTTTTAGAGCGTCTAACTTTCACAAAGGGCCTGGAAAAGCTGAACGTGAGGGGCATGGTTCCGCTCATGCGCGCATGTCTCATAAAAGGCTGGATGAGTGGCACGCTGCGAAAAACGAGATCTGGCGCTGCGCAGTTGCTTGACCCTGGCTATGCAAGTGGTTCGGGGTTCAGGGGTTGACGTAGTCTTGTGCAGACTGAACACAAAAGTCTCAACCCGATATCCCTACACCCTGAGCACTGAGCCCACAGCCTTAAAATCCATTGAAGCTCTAGAAGCTTCAACCCCCGAAAAAAACCTCAAACTGTAAGCCGTGTTCAAAACGCCCTTTTTCCCCCGCCATGAACTGCATAAGCCGAAAATAAGTCAAAAAACACTACATAAAAAGTAAAAAAAAAATCTAGCACCCATTAAAAGACGATGCCTTGTCAAAACGCCACACCCGGCTAAACCAACCCTAGTTCCAAAACAACATGTCATCGAAACCTTGTCACCCCCAAAAAAAACAAAAAGATAAAACTAAAAATAAAATACCAATCCGAAACCTACGACACTCCAAAAGAAACAAAAGGGCCCAGCCCAGTCAAAGAAGACCCAGACCCCACAGACGAATTGCGGCCCCAAACCTCAAAACCCAAACTCCAACCCCCCACCCCTAAACCCTGAATCCTAAACCCCAACCAAAAACCCGAAACCCTTGTTGCACCCTGAGCCTTATACCCTGCTTGCATCCTAAAACCGAAGCCCTCATAATGACGCATTAAACCCTAAACCCCGAATTCAGCCCCAAACATACTTTGAACCTAAAAACCTTAAATGAGCCCTAAACCCTAAACCCTAAACCCTAAACCCTGAACCTTAAGCCCCCCCCCCCCAAATTGAACCCTTAACCCTGAACTTAAGGGTGCTGTGGTTGGCATCGTCAGGTCGAGAAAGTCTTACAAAACCCCAAGCTCTAAAGCCACGTTTAGGGCGTAAGGTTTAGGGCTTAGGGCTTTGGGATTAGGGTTTAGGGTTTAGGCTTTCGGGTTTGGGCTTAGGGTTTAGGGTTTAGGGTTTGGGGTTTGGGGTTTGGGGCTTAGGGTTTAGGGCCTAGGGCTTAGGGCTTAGGGCTTAGGGTTTAGGGTTTAGGGTTTAGGGTTTAAAGTTTAGGGTTTAGGGTTTAGGGTTTAGGGTTTAGGGTTTAGGGTTTAGGGTTAGGGTTTAGGGGTCTCTTGAGAGCCGCGGGCCCGCTGTGGTGGCGAAGGGCGTGAAGGCCAGCAGCAAGGCAATGCGACGCAGGTGGTAGGCCCTGGGGGCTTTTGGGGGGTTTAGGGTTTAGGGTTTAGGGTTTAGGGTTTAGGGTTAGGGTTTAGGGTTTAGGGTTTATAGGGTTTAGGGTTTAGGGTTTAGGGTTTAGGGTTTAGGGTTTGGGGTTTAGGGTTTAGGGCTTAGGGTTTTAGGGGTTTGGGTTTAGGGTTAAGGGGGTGGGGGTTTTGGGGGGTTCAAGCTTCGGGGGCTTTGGGAGCTTCAAGGTTTGGGGGCTGTGGGGGGGTTTGAGGTTTGGGGTTTGGGGGCTTTGGGGGGTTTAAGGTTTGGGGGCTTTTGGGGTTTAAGGTTGTAGGTTTGGGTTTGAAGAGGCTTAAAGGCATAAGGGCCTAAGCGCTCGGGCCTTGCGATGCCGAGGAAGGTTGTTGCTGCGCGGAAGGCGAGTTTAAAGCACACGGCCTCTTCAAGAACCGCAAATGCTTACCGCACCTGACATCTTGGCTACCTGCGGGGGGGGGGGGGGGCGTGAAGCATGGCATAGCGCTGGCATGTGGTAGCAACTGTCAATCTGTTGAGCACGCCAACCCAAAAACCCTAAACTCTAAACTCTAAACCCTAAGGTTGCGCCAACCCTTAACCCTACACCCTAAAACCTAAAACCTAAAACCTAAACCCTAAACCCTATATAAACCCTGAACCCTAAAGTCGGGAATGCTGTGTCGTCAGAACCTCCAGGATCTCCACGAAGCAACAGTCTGAATACTGGGTCCAGAACCTTCGTAGCCGAAAGCATGCTTCCTTTTTTTCATGAAGTCACGCGGCTCAAACTGGCACGAGAGTCTCGGTGAGCTGGCAGCAGAAGTGCTTCAGCTAGCTGGATGCACGCCAGGCGCGTGGCACACGCGTGGCACAGCCCTATACAAGTTGTACAAATCACACAAGTCTCTTCTTCGTCGCTACTACAGAGAGGTTTCTCGATTTACAAGTCACAAAACTGGCGGCGCTCGGTACCTCCGAGACACGAAGGCCGCCATGCAGGTGGCGTGGACACCGGGCCTGCCCGGTGTGCTTGACAGCGCCATCTGGAAAAATCGGGCCTAGGCCACAACCGCACGAATCAGCGACGGAAGACCTGCCAGGAGAATGGTCGAAGCACGGCAAGCGTTGGACTCTGCCTCGGTGTCCGAGCACGCATGGCATTGATGTGACCAGGTAGCATCCGGGAAGGCAAGCTTGCACGCACCCTCGTTGCTGATGTCGCAGTGGCAGCCTGACTCTGCCCCATCTCCTGGCACGTAGCAGCCCCATGAGGATGTGTGGCAGCAAGACCAGCATTCATGGGTCCACTGCTTGCCGCTTGTCTCACCGCAGACACGCTCAGAGACCTTACAGTCACAATCGTGAGAAGCTTCCACGAAACAACCCCAAGAGTAAGATTTCTGGCAGGTGGGGTGCTGCACGTTTGTCGCGGAGTCACATGTCCTGCAGCTATCTGTCCACGTTCCTCCCTGCGAGTGACAGGCAGCCTCCGTGACTGTACAGTCGCACTTGTGCTGTTGGACATCGTAGCAACCAATGCCGCTGCCTGCATGCACGTGCACGATCTGCAGCAACAGGAGCTGGAGCATCCGGGAGGACATGATAGGCGAGGGCGGATATAGGTGGTGCAGTTGTTGAGCACTAGGCTTGGGTCGACACAAATGCCTGCGACCAGCATGCCACATCGCCCAGTAGAGAGCTGTGCTCTCAAGATTCCATCCTGACCGCCGAATCGCGCCACATGCAAGAAAACGGCTTCTCATGTTCTCCCCAGAACTGCTCACAAAACTCAACCTGCACACAACCTCGAAAGCCTAGAGGATGACCACAAAGCAACACGTAGGTCACTCATGATTGGTTATTCACAAGGGAGCTGTCGAGGTTCCAGGGTGTAGTCTGAATACTAGGTCCAGAAAGCATGCTTTCTTTTCCCCTGGAGTCACATGGAGTCACGTCGCTCAAACTGCAACGAGAGTCTCGGTGAGCTGGCAGCAGAAGTGCTTCAGCTAGCTGGATGCACGCCAGGCGCGTGGAACAGCCCTATACAAGTTGTACAAATCACACAAGTCTCTTCTTCGTCGCTACTACAGAGAGTTTTCTCGATTTACAAGTCACAAAACTGGCGGCGCTCGGTACCTCCGAGACACGAATGCCGCCATGAAGGTGGCGTGGACACCGGGCCTGCCCGGTGTGCTTGACAGTGCCATCTGGAAAAATCGGGCCTAGGCCACAACCGCACGAATCAGCGACAGAAGACCTGCCAGGAGAATGGTCGAAGCACGGCAAGCGTTGGACTCTGCCTCGGTGTCCGAGCACGCATGGCATTGATGTGACCAGGTAGCATCCGGGAAGGCAAGCTTGCACGCACCCTCGTTGCTGATGTCGCAGTGGCAGCCTGACTCTGCCCCATCTCCTGGCACGTAGCAGCCCCATGAGGATGTGTGGCAGCAAGACCAGCATTCATGGGTCCACTGCTTGCCGCTTGTCTCACCGCAGACACGCTCAGAGACCTTACAGTCACAATCGTGAGAAGCTTCCACGAAACAACCCCAAGAGTAAGATTTCTGGCAGGTGGGGTGCTGCACGTTTGTCGCGGAGTCACATGTCCTGCAGCTATCTGTCCACGTTCCTCCCTGCGAGTGACAGGCAGCCTCCGTGACTGTACAGTCGCACTTGTGCTGTTGGACATCGTAGCAACCAATGCCGCTGCCTGCATGCACGTGCACGATCTGCAGCAACAGGAGCTGGAGCATCCGGGAGGACATGATAGGCGAGGGCGGAATAGGTGGTGCAGTTGCTGAGCACTAGGCTTGGGTCGACACAAATGCCTGCGACCAGCATGCCACATCGCCCAGTAGAGAGCTGTGCTCTCAAGATTCCATCCTGGCCGAATCGCGCCACATGCAAGAAAACGGCTTCTCATGTTCTCCCCAGAACTGCTCACAAAACTCAACCTGCACACAACCTCGAAAGCCTAGAGGATGACCACAAAGCAACACGTAGGTCACTCATGATTGGTTATTCACAAGGGAGCTGTCGAGGTTCCAGGGTGTAGTCTGAATACTAGGTCCAGAAAGCATGCTTTCTTTTCCCCTGGAGTCACATGGAGTCACGTCGCTCAAACTGCAACGAGAGTCTCGGTGAGCTGGCAGCAGAAGTGCTTCAGCTAGCTGGATGCACGCCAGGCGCGTGGCACAGCCCTATACAAGTTGTACAAATCACACAAGTCTTTTCTTCGTCGCTACTACAGAGAGTTTTCTCGATTTACAAGTCACAAAACTGGCGGCGCTCGGTACCTCCGAGACACGAATGCCGCCATGCAGGTGGCGTGGACACCGGGCCTGCCCGGTGTGCTTGACAGCGCCATCTGGAAAAATCGGGCCTAGGCCACAACCACACGAATCAGCGACGGAAGACCTGCCAGGAGAATGGTCGAAGCACGGCAAGCATTGGACTCTGCCTCGGTGTCCGAGCACGCATGGCATTGATGTGACCAGGTAGCATCCGGGAAGGCAAGCTTGCACGCACCCTCGTTGCTGATGTCGCAGTGGCAGCCTGACTCTGCCCCATCTCCTGGCACGTAGCAGCCCCATGAGGATGTGTGGCAGCAAGACCAGCATTCATGGGTCCACTGCTTGCCGCTTGTCTCACCGCAGACACGCTCAGAGACCTTACAGTCACAATCGTGAGAAGCTTCCACGAAACAACCCCAAGAGTAAGATTTCTGGCAGGTGGGGTGCTGCACGTTTGTCGCGGAGTCACATGTCCTGCAGCTATCTGTCCACGTTCCTCCCTGCGAGTGACAGGCAGCCTCCGTGACTGTACAGTCGCACTTGTGCTGTTGGACATCGTAGCAACCAATGCCGCTGCCTGCATGCACGTGCACGATCTGCAGCAACAGGAGCTGGAGCATCCGGGAGGACATGATGGGCGCGGGCGGATATGGGTGGTGCAGTTGCTGAGCACTAGGCTTGGGTCGACACAAATGCCTGCGACCAGCATGCCACATCGCCCAGTAGAGAGCTGTGCTCTCAAGATTCCATCCTGACCGAATCGCGCCACATGCAAGAAAACGGCTTCTCATGTTCTCCCCAGAACTGCTCACAAAACTCAACCTGCACACAACCTCGAAAGCCTAGAGGATGACCACAAAGCAACACGTAGGTCACTCATGATTGGTTATTCACAAGGGAGCTGTCGAGGTTCCAGGGTGTAGTCTGAATACTAGGTCCAGAAAGCATGCTTTCTTTTCCCCTGGAGTCACATGGAGTCACGTCGCTCAAACTGCAACGAGAGTCTCGGTGATCTGGCAGCAGAAGTGCTTCAGCTAGCTGGATGCACGCCAGGCGCGTGGAACAGCCCTATACAAGTTGTACAAATCACACAAGTCTCTTCTTCGTCGCTACTACAGAGAGTTTTCTCGATTTACAAGTCACAAAACTGGCGGCGCTCGGTACCTCCGAGACACGAATGCCGCCATGCAGGTGGCGTGGACACCGGGCCTGCCCGGTGTGCTTGACAGCGCCATCTGGAAAAATCGGGCCTAGGCCACAACCACACGAATCAGCGACGGAAGACCTGCCAGGAGAATGGTCGAAGCACGGCAAGCATTGGACTCTGCCTCGGTGTCCGAGCACGCATGGCATTGATGTGACCAGGTAGCATCCGGGAAGGCAAGCTTGCACGCACCCTCGTTGCTGATGTCGCAGTGGCAGCCTGACTCTGCCCCATCTCCTGGCACGTAGCAGCCCCATGAGGATGTGTGGCAGCAAGACCAGCATTCATGGGTCCACTGCTTGCCGCTTGTCTCACCGCAGACACGCTCAGAGACCTTACAGTCACAATCGTGAGAAGCTTCCACGAAACAACCCCAAGAGTAAGATTTCTGGCAGGTGGGGTGCTGCACGTTTGTCGCGGAGTCACATGTCCTGCAGCTATCTGTCCACGTTCCTCCCTGCGAGTGATAGGCAGCCTCCGTGACTGTACAGTCGCACTTGTGCTGTTGGACATCGTAGCAACCAATGCCGCTGCCTGCATGCACGTGCACGATCTGCAGCAACAGGAGCTGGAGCATCCGGGAGGACATGATGGGCGCGGGCGGATATGGGTGGTGCAGTTGCTGAGCACTAGGCTTGGGTCGACACAAATGCCTGCGACCAGCATGCCACATCGTCCAGTAGAGAGCAATGCTCTCAAGATTCCATCCTGACCGAACCGCGCCACATGCCAGAAAACCGGCTTCTCATGTTCTCCCCAGAACTGCGCACGAAACCCAAAAGCCTAAACCCCATGCACCGAGCGCGCGCCTCAAGCGCAAGTCCAGCTTCGTCAGCATGACCTGCACACTCGCAGGCTCGCGGGGGAAGTATAAGGAGAGCAGCCTATTCGCCCTGAACCCTAAACTTTAAACCCGAATTCCTAAACACTAACCCTAAACCCTAAGTCTAAACCCTAAACCCTAAACTCGAATTCCTAAACCCCAAACCCGAAACCCGAAACCCTGAACCAAAAAAACCCAAACACGAAAGCCTCAATCCCCACCTGGATGGTGGCAAAGACCAGCGCCACACAGACGGCGGCCACACCGGCATGCTGGCCTCCCAGGAACCTGACATCGGATGCTTGGGATAGGGTTTAGGGTTTAGGGTTTAGGGTTTAGGGTTTAGGGTTTAGGGTTTAGGGTTTAGGGTTTAGGGTTTAGGGTTTAGGGTTTAGGGTCTAGGGTCTAGGGTGTAGGGTTTAGGGTTTAGGGTTTAGGTTTAGGGTTTGGGGTTAAGGGTTGAGGGTTGAGGGTCGAGGGTTGAGGGTTGAGGGTGGAGGGTGGAGGGTCGAGGGTTGAGGGTTCAACCCTGGGTTGAAAGTTGAGGGTTGAGGGTTTAGGGTTTAGGGTTTAGGGTTGAGGGTTTAGAGTTTAGGTTTAGGGTTTAGGGTTTAGGGTTTAGGGTTTAGGGTTTAGGGTTTAGGGTTTAGGGTTTAGGGTTTAGGGTTTAGGGTTTAGGGTTTAGGGTTTAGGGTTTAGGGTTTGGGGTTTGGGGTTTGGGGCTTAGGGTTTGGGGTTTAGGGTTTAGGGTTTAGGGCTTGGGGTCTACTTCCTAGTTCTAAGCAGAGAGTTGGGGCCTCCGGGCCCCCAGATACTTCCCTAAAGACTCACAAACAAAGGTGGGTTCAGGGTGTAGGGTTGAGGGTTTAGGGTAAGGCACAAACCCTAAACCCTAAACCCTAACTCCAAACTTCCCTACCAAGAACCGGCTTTTTCGGATCTCGGTGCGAACCTGGGGGGGACAGAACCCTTTTGGGGCCTCGTAGGGCCTGAGAACTTGGGTAATTTCCTAAATTATGAGCCCATTGTTGGGGTGCCCATTCTAAGGCGGCACCCTTTTAAAAGGTACCCCAAAAAAGGGACCCCTAAATTAGAGAATAAACCCTAAACCCTAAACCCTAAACCCTAAACCCTAAACCCTAAACTTTAAACCCTAAACCCTACACAACGAACCTAGATCTCAAGTTGTCGCTCCATGATGCCAAGCCACGAGCCCAGCGCCCAGTAGAGGCAGCTGTACAGCCTGCAAAGGGTGCCCGGGATCTTTCGGGTTTAGGGTTTAGGGTTTAGGGTTTAGGGCTTAGGGTTTAGGGTTTAGGGCTAGGATTTAGGGTCAAGGGTTCAGGGCAGGGTTGGTGGGCCCACCTCACCTCCATGAAAGCGAGAGCGAAGGCAAAAGCGAAAGGGGGGGTGGTCTAGGAGTTCTAGTGGTTATCCGCCGACCCCAGCTGGAGCGGGGGCGGCGTCAGTGAAGACCCATAGTGCGCTCCATTCCCTGAGTTCCCATGGCCTCAGCACGCCCAAACCCTCGCCGGTACTCCATTCCCTGAGTTCGTTCCCGTGCATGCCCAAACCCCCGTCGCTCATGGCCTCAGCACGCCCAAACCCACCCCCACCCCCAACCCCTTTCCACACTTCCAGCTGGCTCCACCCCCACCCCCAACCCCCACCCCCACCCCCACCCCCAACCGCCCCCACCCCCACACTGGACCCATGGCTCCTGGCCCCATTGGCTCATGGTCCACGGCCCATGGATGTGGCTTCTCAGCTGACTTTAAAGGGCCCCAGTGCATGCCCGCCCCCTCCGCCCGCTGCCCGCTCCGCCCTCCGCCCTTCCAGCTCCGCCTACTCCCCCCTTGGCCCATGCTCCCACTCTCCATCCCCTCGACCTCCCCCGCTTGGCCCGCTTGCTCTACCCCACCACCCACGCACCACCGTTCCCCGCCCATCCGCCCTTCCCGCTCTCCCCTTGCCCAAGCCCCCCACGCACCCCGCCATGCTTCTCATGGACCCATGGCTCCTGGTCCCATTCTTTATCCCTCGACCTGCATGGCTGCCAATGCTGGTCCTAGCATACTCCCCCCTTGCCCAAGCCCCCCACGCACCCCGCCATGCTTCTCATGGACCCATGGCTCCTGGTCCCATTCTTCATCCCTCGACCTGCATGGCTGCCAATGCTGGTCAAAAAAATGGCCCCTGCTCCACCCCCACCCCCAACCCCCACCCCCACCCCGCACGCACCCTGCCACCCCCAACCCCCAACCCCCACCCCCACCCCCACGCACCCACACTTCCAACCCCCACCCCCACCCCCCCACGCACCCCTGGACCCATGGCTCCTGGCCCCATTGGCTCATGGTCCACGGCCCATGGATGTGGCTTCTCAGCTGACTGTAAAGGCCCAATTCATGCCCGACCCTCCGCCCGCCCTCCGCCCTTCCAGCTCCGCCTACTCCCCTTTGGCCCATGCTCCCACTCTCCATCCCCTTGACCTACCCCTCATGGACCCAGCTCCCTTAACCCCTCACGGACCCTGCATGCCCCTCATGGACGCATGGCTCCTGGCCCCATGGCTCCCCTCCGCCCCTACCCCCACCACCCACGCACCCGCTCCCCGCCCATCCGCCCTTCCCGCTCCGCATACATTCCCCTTGCCCAAGCCCCCCACGCACCCCGCCATGCTTTTCATGGATCTATGGCTCCTGGTCCTATTCTTCATCCCTTGAGCTGCTCCACCCCCACCCGCAACCCCCACCCCCACCCCGCACGCACCCTGCCCCGCCGCCCGTGCTTGTCATGGGCCCCTTGCTCCCATGACTTTAAAGGGCCCCAGTGCATGCCCAACCCTCCGCCCGCTCCGCCCGCTCCGCTCGCTCCGCCCTTCCGCCTACTCCCCTCTGGCCCATGCTCCCACTCTCCATCCCCTTGACCTACCCCTCATGGACCCAGCTACCCCTGGACCCATGGCTCCTGGCCCCATGGCTCCCCATGGCTCAGCCCATGGATGTGGCTTCTCAGCTGACTTTAAAGGCCCCAGTGCATGCCCGGGCCCTCCGCCCGCTCCGCCCGCTCCGCCCGCTCCGCCCTCCGCCCTTCCAGCTCCGCCTACTCCCCTTTGGCCCATGCTCCCACTCTCCATCCCCTTGACCTACCCCTCATGGACCCAGCTCCCTACCCCTTACCCCTCACGCACCCTGCCCCGCCGCCCATGCACCCGCTCCCCCCATCCGCCCTTCCCGCTCCGCATACTTTCCCCTTGCCCAAGCCTCATCCCTCGACCTGCATGGCTGCCAATGCTGGTCCTATATATGGCCCCTGCTCCACCCCAACCCCCAACGTACGCACCCTGCACCCCCAACCCCCACCCCCACCCACCCACACTTCCAACCCCACCCCCACCCCCCACGCACCCCGCCCCCCACTGAACCCATCATGGCTCCTGGCCGCATTCCAGTGCATGCCCGGGCCCTCCGCCCTCCGCCCTTCCAGCTCCGCCTTCTCCCCTCTGCCCATGCTCCCACTCTCCATCCCCTTGACCTACCCCTCATGGACCCAGCTCCCTACCCCTTACCCCTCACGCACCCATGCCCCTCATGGACCCATGGCTCCTGGCCGCATGGCTCCCCATTCATTATGGTCCACGGCCCAAGCAGGTGGCTTCTCAGCCCCTACGTTGGCGGTAGCCATTAAATAGACATCAAAGACGAAGAAGCCATCGTGGACAAACAAAACATGCGCTCTCAAAAACAACACGAAAGAGTGCT